CTTTAAGCATCATTACATCATTGTAACGAAACTTTCTTCCAAAGTGATTTTTTGTTCAGCGAATGTAAGTATTACTTTTTGCTTGTATATGTTCGGGTGTTACTGAAACATATTTTTATTATTGTCTAAACAACAACCACCAACTAAAACGTTCTAAAAAGTATGACAATTCTTATAAATATACACTATAATCCAAGTTTACTAAATGTATACATGATTTCGGTTTTGTGACAAAAAGTATTTACTATATACTTTGATATTGTACATTTGTATTCCTCCAAAGGGGTAGCAATCGTGTAAAAAAACATGTTACAGATTCACCTAATGTTTTTTTTTCATTGCAATGTCAATAATCACTGGAAATGACTACCCAAAGTTGGTTAATATACTGCATTTGTTATCATCATTTTTCTAATTTAAACAAAAAATACATACAGAAATCATCGTTACTTTATGATGCTTAAGTTGAGAAATATTTTTTTCAGAAATGTCTTCAGTAACTACAGGAAAAACACAGCCCATCAGGTTTTCGTTAGTTGAAACTTTCCTTTTAACTCAAAAATAATATATTTTCATTCGTTTGTAATCCAATACGTAAGTTGCTATATCTGACACATTTCTGATCAATGAAAAGTTTTACAATTTAAGAACGAATGGTTAATTTTAAGACCATATAATTTTGCTTTGCTGTACATATTCTGAAGTTTTGTTTGATATTCAGAATATAGACACATATTACAGAAATATAAAGTATTTCATATACAAAAATAATTGATTGGATCGAAAGTTTACGCAATAAACTAAATATATATATGTAGTAACGGAGGTTTTTTATGCCTTATTCCAATAAATTTTGGTCGACATATAATATGCCATATCTTGAAAACGAGGAAGAGATTGTTGAAAATATTTCACAGTATTATCTATCAATATATGTTCTTTTGTCACAACAAAAAATAATCGATGCTACTCTGACTTCAAAAATCAGATTTTTCAAACCTGAATTGGGACATTTTTTTCAATTTTGGTGTTTACCTATTACCCTATGGCTACATAGAGATTATCCTATATGAGGTTCAGGATATTGGGATTATCCCGAGGGAAATATAATATATCTGCCCGAGGGCCGCAGGTTCGTTTGGCACAGCATTCGGTGGGAGAGGGGTATCAAGGTACATCTGAATAAGAATATTCTCAATATCCTTTCTTTTTGCCTTATGTCCCGGACATTCTAGTATGAACTAAAATCTCAATAGTTTCGCCACATACCAAGCATAGATCATTTATCTTAATACTTGCCACCCGACCACCGTTTACAGTTAACAATTAGGTTTCCTTCACCCGTTAATAATTATCCCATCGAACGAAGTTCGGAGGGATATAGGGAACGCCTCCGTCCGTCCGTACGTACGGACGGACGTACGTACGTCCGTACGTCCGTCCGTACGTACGTCCGTCCGTCCGTACGTCCGGGCAATAACTCAAATACCGTTGGCCTGATTTTGTTCATATTTTGTACACATATACCCTATGGGGGTAGAAGTTCTGCTCGACAGCCGATTTTCAAAATGGCCGCTCCTTTTGAAATGGCGGCCATTTTAGTGCCGAATTTACAGTAATTTAGGTGCAATATGTAAAACTGTAATAGCAATATGTTTTAGATGTAAAAAAATTATATAGGACATTAATAAAGCTAGAAATGTAGATATTAAAGAAGCACATGGCAGCCATCTTGAAAAATGGCGGCCTTTACTCGTTATTTTACGATTTTTGCTGTAACTCGAAAAGTAGTGGAGCGATTTTGTTCATATTTGGTATGTGAATCTATAAACATTGCACGCTGTCTAAAGACACTTTTGGTATAAGGTGGCCATTTTAAAAAATGGCCGCCATTTTGAAAAATGGCCGCCATTTTAACCTATTTTACTATAACTCGAAAAGTAGTGGAGCGATTTTGTTCATATTTGGTATGTGAATACTAAAAGCATGACACACTATCCTATGACACTTTAAGTAGAAGGTGGCCATTTTGAAAAAAATTTTGAAAAATGGCCGCCATTTTAACCTATTTTACTATAACTCTAAAAGTAGTGGAGCGATTTTGTTCATATTTGGTATGTGAATACTAAAAGCATGACACACTATCCTATGACACTTTAAGTAGAAGGTGGCCATTTTGAAAAAAATTTTGAAAAATGGCCGCCATTTTAACCTATTTTACTATAACTCTAAAAGTAGTGGAGCGATTTTGTTCATATTTGGTATGTGAATACTATAAGGATGGCACACTGTCTAATGACACTTTTGATAGAAGGCGGCCATTTTTCAAAATGGCCGCCATTTTAACGTATTGTACTATAACTCGAAAAGTAGTGGAGCGATTTTGTTCATATTTGGTATGTGAATACTATAAGTATGGCAAATGGTCTAATGACACTTTTGGTAGAAGGCGGCCATTTTGAAAAATGCCTGCCATTTTTGCTATATACTTTGTTTGTAAAAATGCCATCCATGGCTGTTCTATGGGATTCGCTACGCTTTGGCGTTGCCGTTGTTCTGGTTTAACCATGGTTCTACATGGTTTAAGTAGCATGGGATTACATTTTGCTAGGGTCCACCATACAAGGGGATTTATCTCTTTTTGAACCATTCTGAATAAAGACAACTTTTCAAACAAAATACACTGTACTCTCCAATTGCTTAATTCCCGTTCATACACAACATTTTTACACGTCTTTTCCATTGCAATTTTGGAATAGTTCCAACATTAAGCATTTCATATACATCACCTAGAAGTCCAAAAAGTCCAAAAATCCGTTGAAACTTGAATATTACCATAATATTCGTAATGTACATCTTTTTACGAAATACTTTGTCCAAAGAAAATTTTACAGAAATGTTTTGTCTAAATTGTTCCACGCCAGGCAACGGAGTACTCGAGTTTGAATAATGGCTGCCAATTCTCGTTGAGATGCGACATATTGTTTTTTCCAATCTATAATGACACCATTCTATTCAGGGGTTGCCTTATCAAATGACTTATTATGAAACATCAACAGGATAATTGCACAAGTCTACGAATTTATCAACAGACGATCGGGTGAACAGTCCAGCGCCATCTATACTATTGAATCGTTCATGCAGGGTTGGGTCATCCATTGACTTCTTGAATCATTAACAGAGTAGTTACAACTGTTTATGAAGAGGAGATGTGGCCTATTATCCAGCGTCATCTATCTTTCATTCATAGTCGCCTGATCATAATGATTTCTTGAACCATATAGGCCTGAAGTGTCAATCTATTTAGAGTCGAGGTGGCATTTTGTGTAGCGCCATCTATATAACCAACCATTCATTCAGGGGGTTCTTATACACCGACTTATATGAATTAGAATCATTAACGGAATAATTGCTTTAAAACGTCAACGCAGAGTCATCCATAGAACCAAGTCTTGCAGGGGAAGATATACTGTATTTCCAGCTTCCTTCTTGTTTTCCCCATTGATTCTGAAAAAAAAAAAATGCATCTGCTTAAAATGTTGTCTGCTTATATTTTCGAAACCCATACAAACAATAATTTTTTCATATCATTCATTTAATACTTCCATGAAATTACATATGGTTGTGTCACGTCTTGTGATTCGAATCATGGTGTCTTAATTGACGTCGTGACATAGTCATAAGAGTTGGCAGATGGTATTTGTCAGGTCGGGACTGAATGTTAAAGCTTTTTTTCCGCTATTTTTGAAAGGTAAGGTAACGGCCGTGTGTGAATGTTGTTCAGCAAAAAAGCAGTCTTTCTTAGGGAATAAGGGGAATTTTCTCAGCACTCGTGTCAGGGAATAGGGGGATTTTCTATCACGTAACTCAATATTAATGAAACTTCAACAATAAAAATGAGATACCCCCTGAGTTGTAAACAGTCGTGAAGGAGGATTGGCACCCAGAATGCAACATCGATATTCTACCCCATATGTAGTATCGTGACGTTAAACCTTATTTACACGTAACATGCAGTTCCGCCTTTTTAAAACCTGTCACGTGCGTGTAAATAAGGTTAAGGTCATGAGACCATATATAGGGCAGAATATCGATGTTGCATTCTTTGAACCAATCCTCCCTGGCCGTGAACATCGAGATAGTCGTCACTCTGGGGCAATTTCACAGATTTGATTTTTATTAAATTGATTCATCAAGGTCTAGCTTTTTGCCAATTATAATAGATTTTGTAAAACATTGGAAAATTGAACAAGTGAATTAGCTGCCTGTCTGCCTGTTGGTAGTCTCTAGATGTTCAAATGTATTAAATCATTCAGATTTTTTTTTCTCTTTAGACAAAAGACAATATTCATTACGAATTACAATTACACCGTCTGGATTATAAGGGGGAATATATATTTGTTATTCTCATTCGATTTAATGTTTTATTTATTTCATTTGATGCTTTTCTTATGTCGCCCTTGGAGTTTATTGATTCTGTAGTCATTGCTTTTTATTTTATTCAACACAGATTTTCTAGTTGCAAAATATCATAATAAATAGATTCATGTATGCCTAGTGAGTCATGTATGCCTAGAAAATACAGATTACCAGTTTTGATTTGAAAGGTTGTTTCTTACGCTTTTAATAAGACATATATAGGAATAAGATTCTGGACACTTCATTGTACAACGTCTAGAATATATGATTGTTTATTTAGATATATAATGTATTTGACGAGTAAACATGTACCTTTAGCAAATGTATTATATTCTATTTTTCTGATGTTGCCATTAAGAAGTCTTGATATTTCACAGTTTCGATTTTAGTTTGCAAATTTTGATGGTAAAATTGATAGCATTCTCCATACAAATGCAATAGTAACTAGTACCTCGCATGCTTTCCTTATTTTTTCGATATTCATGGTTATTGGTTGACATGTTGATTTTATCAATACGAAAATAGGTATATTCATTTTAGATTTATTCTAATTTTATGATGACTTACCTACATAAGATCAGATCTACGGCTTATATTTCACGACAAATGCTTCACATCGTGCTAAAAGATGACGAGACTCTGTTCCTATCAGCAGGTTGTCCTCTGTGTCCATTGCGAGAGACCATGGCTCATTCAACTCATCACTTTCTGACAGTACGTGTCTGATGAAGTTGCCATCAGGTGAGAGTAACTGCACTCTGTTGTCATAATTGTCAGCTACTAGGATATTCCCAAATGTGTCTACACAAACACCACGGGGATGATTCAGTGCATTCTTACCCTCACCACTGTATGTGAACACTTCCTCACCACGATTGTCTACACATCTGATGTTATTAGTGCCATAGTTAGATATTATAATGTGATCCTGTTTAGTCACTGCTATGAATGTGTAGTAATCCGTGTCGAACAATCCAGATGGTGTGGTGTGTTCTACCTTCCCAGACTGCCAGTTGATGAACACTAAGGACCCATTGGTGCCATCCGCAATCACCATCTGACCAATACTATTCACTGCAATAGCTTTTGGTTTGATTGTATCTTGTAATGGTATGTCTCGCTTGTGGTCACCTGATGTGTCAAACACTTGCACCATCCAAGTGTTATCATCTCTCACACACAGTACTGCTACACCCTGACCATCAGGGGTTGATATCACTCGATATGGATTACCAGTTGTGGTCAGTGTTTTCATCTTTTCGAGTTGTTTGTTGCAGATGATTGTTTTATTGTTGCCATACTTTGGCACCACAATCATCACTATACCAGAAGTACCTGCAGCAGCCAGGGAGGGAATACCAATGTAGCCAAAAAACTGTTTTCTTTGTAATGTCTTTGGTTTGTATTTCCGCAATACTTCCATCTGCTGCTGCTGTTGCTGCTGGTGCTGCCACTGCGTTATAACCGCATCTACATCATCCTTTAAATCCTGCAAAATCAATATCAAACAATCTGAAGCAAATATGTGTAATATCTGTTTGTGTAATGTTATGTGTTATGTTTATTATATGTTATCAAAATTGCCATTGACTACTCATAACTTGCTATTTTAAATGAGATCAATGTACTTGTGTTACAAAACACCAGTCATAATAATCCGTTCCAGCAAATATTTATTGATTCTGTATTGTTATTTGATTTTATGCATTCTGTACTGTTAACAATTAAATGAAAAATAGCATAAGATTACATAGAAATATTTATCGTTATTGAAATATACAGGAGTTTCGTTTTTTTCGTGCAATGAAGTGTTGCATTGCAAGATCTGGCCTGAAATCTCAAACAGGCTGGCTAAACAACTTATCTGTAAGACGCGTCTTGATCTTGAACTTTTTTCGGATCTATTATTGATTTAAAAATAATAGCATTCCCTTGATTATTGCCGTCCCCCCAAAAGGTATAAATAGTATGTATACCCTATGTATAGTATACCACTTTATGACTTTATGGATGATGTGTTGGCGAATGGTTCGTGAGTCTTACCACTTCAGGTTTATAATGATACTTTTAACATAGTTTTAGACTTTGTATCACTGTGAAACTTGTTCATTACCAGGGGTGGATCCAGGATTTTGTGTTAGGGGGGGGGGCGTGCGATAATAACTGTGAGCGAAGAGTCAAATTTTGTAAAAAGCGAAGAGCCAAAACACGAATTTTCCGACTTTTTAGGGGGGGGCGTGCGCCCCCCACGCCCCCGCCTAAATCCGCTGGTGCGTACCATTAATGTCTTCAGTCGAGTTAATCCTCAAAGTATCTCATTCATTCAATTCCAGGTTTAAGAGAAATTCGCAATATTGTGTCTCGGAAAATGATGTGTGGGCGAATGAATCGAATTTTACAATGGATGTGTGGGCGATTAAATAGGAATAAATAATGATAGGCCGTTCAATATGGTGAAATTCAGCAGGAGTTGAACAGAATGTCGTACAAAGCACGAACCGAAGGTGAGGCGTTGCCCTAGCCTATTTTTTTATAATTGAAAATTAAGATAAATAAAATATGATTTAGACTTGGGTAAGGCTAAATTTGCCCAAAAAGTACAAGAAAGCTCATATTATATTGCTACATTCATAGTGAGCATTGCTTTTTGGATCTGCGAAAGGCATGTGGGATTTGAATAATTGAATATCATAATTCATTTTTCGTTCAAGATTGTAATCTGCAAGCGGTTTCTGACATTTTCAAAACATTAATTGTCAATACGTGTAGATATAAAACAAATGTCACTTCAGTTGTGCTGTGCCTTAGTCCATCCGCTTTGGCTCAGTGGCAGAGTCGAGGTTACCGCTATCGTGGTGTGCACTTGCATGTTTGTGTACCAGTGCACAAAAATGATATAAATATATCCTGCTGTATTGCACTTCAAATCATTCTATAACGTTTATATCATATGATCTCAGGCCAATACATTTTACCCAGGAGATAATCCTTAAGAAATATCCTGTATTCCCTGTATTGCTACTGAGATCGTCCCCTCCGTACCAATATTTTCTGTATTGGTCTGGGGATGATCAAAGGGGACAATCTCAGTAGCAATACAGATTGGTATAGTACAAGAACTGACAATCAGGGGGCTTTATTTTACAGATCATACGATAATAGAAGATATTCAATGAATCGAGTGAAATACAGACAATATTCTGTCCGAGAAGGTCAGTATTTCACAATGCGCTACCAGAGTAAAAATTTTTAATAAACGTCTATGGGCCTTTGTTGAGAGGGAAACTTTTTCAATTTTAGATAGGTGGGCGTTTATTCAGATGGAAAATAGCTTTCCCAAGTCTGGTGTTTGACATCTGTAACAAATGGTACGTGGTAACATTGCATGTTAATGTCTTGCTGATGTTTTTTAACTGATATGCTTCTAAGCTGTGGGATGTATTGAAAAGGGTGCAATGTCACCAGCGTGCGGAGGTCAATCCTTTTACTTTAAACCAAGCAGTGGAGGTCTGAACGATCTGTAATAAATACATATATAGATCATCACAAAATGAAAGTCGTTTCTGTTTTTTTTAAATGAGTAACAGATTGCAACAAAAAATAATCAAAAGATGTTATTGAGTGGAGGGAAGTATACTATTATGTAATTGCTTGGAACCAAAAGAAGGTTTTTGAATACTTTTTGTTAAATCGACCAATTTTCCTTTGTATAACTATAATATTGAGAGCTTTAAGAAAATGTTGAATACACTATTTTGTTTTGGAAAGATATTTTATTTCATCCTCAAGAATTGATAGAAAGGAACAAAAAAGAATTGCACTAAAAATTAAAAATATGTTCACAAAAAAAGTTACAAAAATATATATCAATGATTTTCCATTAAATTGTTGTCAATCAGTGACAATTAAATAAATGAGGGTGTTTTTTTACAAACTGTTTTCAATAATTGGTTTAAAAAAATTAGATGAAAATATTGTTGAAAGCAACTAAATTGAACTACGAAATGGCAAATAGATTGCATATTGTCAAAAAACTTAACATGTTTAGGATTGTATCGCCTGTTTTTGCACATTATATATGGTGGCATTATGCGAAATCAGAAATATTTTGTAATTATATGGTGTCTCATGAATATGAATTATCTAAATTAAGATGAACACGTATTATTGAAAGCAAATAGAATGCACATTGTAAAATGTTTAGGATTGTATCATTGGTTTCTAAACCTATTTTATGGTGGCATATTTCAAATCAGAGTCTTAATACTTATTTGAACAAAATACAAAAATTAATATTCCTCAATGACACAAACGTTTTATATTTGGACAAATGATGTATTTTATTTGCAGTAGTATATAGGGAGTGTGTTTGCTAATTTTATTTTCAAAATCTGCGTTGAGTTGAATTACTCATTAATCTAATATTGATCCCATGGCCCACTGAACTAAGTTTGAAAGGAAGCCTTCCTTCCGCTCATCAAATAATTCAAATGACACTTAACTGATTTATTTTATAAGGCATATTTCATTTTATACCAGGACATTTTTAATATGGCTGTGCAATTCAAAATAGTTGTAAAGAAAAAAATCAATCTTTGATACAACTCTGGTATAACTGGTTGTTAGAGTTAATTCAGATTTTATGGCCAAATGTCTTATGGGCATAGAACCACTTCTGCAGAAGAAAAAGTAAATGCGATCTCTTATTCCGGTTATCAGATTTGGTGCAAATCTTTTGTGGTGATGCCGTATGCATATTCCAATATGGACGCTTAAATAAAAATGACTGCTATTTTTGAAGTATGGTCTTTCATAACTGGTTATTTGTTATCGGATTTGCTTAGACTTGTAAAAGCTTACCGATGGTCATTGCATTTGAACCAAGGACCTGTGCTAGAGATTTTCATATCCTTTAGATTCTTTTTGCAAAGTTAGAAAATTTCCCCTCATCATTCCCCCGGGTTTTCCACTCGTCTTTCAGGGGGCTATAAAGGATTGTTCTTTAGGATGTTTTCCTGGATTTAACTCAAAAGTTCTAGCTATTGAGTAAATAAGGGAGACCCGGATAAGACTCTTGGCAGTAGCATTTTATATAAATATCGTAAAATATGCCATGTATTTTTCCTGATAAACTTTGATATAATTCCTATTTTTCATTGCCCCTTTGATTCGATATGACTTTATGGAGCTTTGCTTCATGGGACTCCGTGGGACTTTATGAGCTTATGTGGGACTCCGAGCATACGCCATCTTTTAATCCAAGAGTTATTTAAAACATACACTTTGTAAAAAGTGGTAATTCACTTTTTTTAATCTCTGAACGTCAAATGCTGTTTTCCATGCGAGTAATTTTTCTTTCAATTCAGTATTATCCCAAATTAAAATATTTATCATATTTATATTGACTGTTTGAGTGACTTGTCTTAAATAATATTTCGTCATTTTCCTTCAAAAATAGGCGCATTGCCTGTTCAAGTTGCTCGCCAAAAACTGTTTGTTTCTTTCAACCCATTTAATACGAAGGGGACTCAGCCTTTGGATATGGAAGCATTTTTAACGTTTCTGCACAAATATTAACTTAATTAAAACACGAGATTTGGAACCGTGAGAGTACTTAGGGGCAAACGGTGGGGAACGGCATGTATACTCCATGTACAAGATATTCCAATCACAATAAACACAAAAATTGATTAAAAAAATTGATGCCAAAACTTGGCCACACGATGGCGAACGGTCAACCCATATGGCTAATGTGACAGCTACTTTACCAAGTTACGACGAAATCGTATGTTAAGACACCCCTATCCCTGGTCGTAAGTTACGACTGATTTTTTAGCAAAAGTCGTAACTTACGGAAATAGTTACGACGTTCGGAAGTTACGACGATGCACGAAAAACGCATTTTTTGCCAGTCGTAGTAAAAGAACAATGACGTAAGTTACGACCGTTTTCAAGAACGGCCCCCTGGACCGTATCCCAACGCTGACGTCATTTTCACTCTGTATTCAACGCGAAGTGGAAAGTGCGTGTAAATGCAAGATATATTAAAGGCAGAATCTGGTATAGGGGTGACAAAATTACAAGCAACGTAATAATAAGAATGGTAACCATTCTTATAGAAAAATAATACATTATTGGAAAAATCTTTCGTTTTCCTTGAATAAAGTATGCACTTTTGTGATTTTTAGAAAATAGACATGACAAGGCATGACATGAGCCAAAAATATTCTAAAATTGAAACAATTTTTTGTTTAGCCTGCTCGCTATCTCTGATTCTCTCTTTAAGTCTCAGGGACCAATCAGATTGCAGGGAATTTCACGATCATGGAAGAAAATACAATACAATACTTAGCTTGATGAATTGTAAGAATCGCCAACCATTCCTTCGTAAAATTCGATTCATTCGCCCACACATTATTTTCCGAGACACAAAAGTGCAAATATCTCTTTAACCTGGAATCGCATGAATGAGATATTTGCTGAATTGACTCGACTTTAGACATTAATGGTACGGAACAAGTTTCACAGAGATACAAAGTTTAAAACTATGTTTAAAGTATCATTATAAACCTAGAGTCGAAAGACTCGCGAACCATTCGCCCACACATCATCCATAAAGTCAGACTATACGTGATATAATCCGTATTCATCCAAAATGTGAAATGATATATCGGGTTGGCATAATAATGGACTATACTTCAATGTTACATTGCTCCATTATATACCTTTCATTTGAGATTACAAGCAATTTAGACAGATGGTCGCGTCCATGGCAAACGAAAACGATACATGACTTAATCAGTTCGTTCACTTTCAAATGTCCGAAACATGCGTATTTGATTCACGTTTTTGATTTCGGTCCCATGGACAGAAATCTAAAGGATGCCATGGGAATTTTGTTTGTGTATATTCACACTACCCTACCACGTGACCACGTTTAAAAGGGAAACAGGGTACAGCTTAGTTGCAAATGGAGGACGTGGGTTTAATTCCATATTTCTGAACGTAAAATACATTTTACATTTATTTCTAGTGTTCTACCAGACATAGAATTGATTCATCGAGGAGTGTGTAGAATATTGTTGGCAAAAAACCACTATAGGCAAAGATAGATAATAGTGGGCGCAGTGAAGCAAAACCAAATGCAATACACGATACATTTCAGTAAATCTATCAACGTACAGGGAGCATGTAAGTTTCCCTTCGAAAATGTTACATTGATATGTAACAAAAAACCCAGTTAACTGTTATTTAAACTGCGTGTCATCGTGTTATAGGTGGATACGTTTTCTAGTATGTTAGTCAACTGTATTTTTGTGAATTTGAACAAAACATTTTGAATGGTCGGGTTTTTAGGACGGTAGTGAATTAGACCATTCAAGGGGTTATATAGAAAGATTCTTCATATGTAGTTCAGGCAATTTTGATTATTCTGAGTAGCAAATAGTCATTAATACTGATAGCGGATAGTCATTTATCATTAACGTGTTGATATTTAATTTCGTTATTTTATTTCAATTTGATACCCCAGTAACACGTATAATCTAGCGTTCTTGTTAATTTAATGACTAAAATGCATACGACTTGAAAGCCCGTGTCTAAATCTACAAAATAATGTTTACTTTATTTGGATTAAATAACAATTGATGACACCTCAAAGCATCAACGGGCGGCCTTTTTAGCATTACTTTCACTGTTTGCAACGTAAATGTACATGAGGTCGGGACAAAGTATGTCTGTATAATCAGCTTACTTTCTCGCTCCCTGTACTATTGAACAATTTACATTCCTTGTACCCTGTATTGATCAACTTTTGCAGCTGTGTACCGTGTACTATGACGTATCAAATATTTTAAAATTTAAAACGATATTAATTACATTATTTCTTCAACTATCATATAACTTGGAACATGGACTTCACTATTGCACCACTGAAGTGTAGCGAATAGCAATATTGACTCACTCCGAGCACCAAACGTAATAACCTTTTGACTAAGCAGTCGATATACTCAAAAGCGACATGTTTGAAAGCCAAAAGATTCGCGCATGCGCGATCGAGGTAGGGTAGTGTGTATTAAGGACTTTTGAATGTGTACAAGCACGACCCTAATATATCGAATATACATAAAAGGTCGTGCTTTTACACTAGATATGTCCGCTTCTAAAATTGTACGCACTCAAAAGTCCTTAATATACACAGACCAAAGAACAGGTCCATTTAACAGACTATTGGTCAACTTAGACTTTTTCCAAAACACTCATTTTTCCATTTACTTTCAAAACCGATTGCAGGTTGTAGATAAGCCTTTTTTCTTGAGGTGTGCAATTTCAAAAATTGGCATTAGTTTTCAGTTTCTTTGAAAAATTGGCAGTAAGAACCCCTATCACAAGACTGTCTGAATATGGGTACACACCATGTTTACCATCAAATTAATATCAAAACTTATCATTACATTGAATTTATTATATGGAACATATGGCATACGAGCATTCGGAGTACAACATTAAACAAATCAAGCTATGTATTAAGTTTACCAATGCAAATCTGGAAAACATTGTCATTTTTTGTTCACTTTGTTATCAAGTTAAAGCATGATGCTCATTTCATTTCGTTGAAAATTTAACCATCGGCCCATTCTCCCCAAAAAGATATTGAAACTGTATAATGCAGAGACTGTACAGTAGCTTTTCTGGAAATATCATTGTTGTGGGAGTTTGGGCTCACCACTAAAACTCAACTTTTGTGATGAAAATTAGGCTGACTGGTTTATGTTTTCAATATGGCTGCTAACCTGGGCATACATGTGCACTACATAACTGCAGATTAGGCCATTCAAAATTAATCATATGTTGGCATTCTGATGAAGGGCCTTATATTAAAAACTACAAAACCTTTATTTATTTAAAGGGTTTTATAAATTATTTAATAGTGAAAATGCAATAACACATAGTGGAAAAGCAAGTAACACCTCTCGATTCAGATGACCTTGTTAATGAAGACAATACTAAAGCTTATATACATGTTTTTAATAATAGTTTTTAATCAATCTTGGAACTCATTTCGATACAATATAATTCATGATCACAATTCCCTCTGTCATTTATATGCATTACAAGTACAGAGTACATGGGGACATTTTGTTTTTTTCTGAAAATATAGAATTTAGTGACATTAATTATAAATTTTTTTGAATGGCCTAAGTGTTTTTCTAAACAGGGAATAAGTAGACATTATTTTAGGCAATCTTTTGAGTGTCATGCCATTTATACATGATGCTGCCTTATATTTTATGATAGATATTGAAATTCAAATATGGGAACTGTAAATAGGCAAATAACTTTAAAACTAAGTCTCCATACAGACATTTAATTTCAGATGCCAATGGGCATCTACATTGGAAATGCCCATGTCATGGACATTTAAAATAATAATGACATCCCAACTCTTAAAACATGCTTATATTAGGATACTGTTAGAGTCTCAAAAGGCAACAAGAACATTACTTTTTGAAACAGGAAAATGTTGTCCCCCCCAGAAATGCCCATATGGGGATCTATTCTCAAGATTTTCATGTAATTGCCCGTGAGAATTGATCAAAAATATTTTTATTTCCATTCACATGTCTTGTTATCAGTCAAAATCAAAATTAAGCCAATTGCTTTCATTTCTTGTATTAGAAAACGGCAAAATTTTGACAAAAATAGCATCTTTCGAAGTTGACCTTTAAACCACCCTTATGTCCAGGTCAAATGTCTAAGTTCTCAGAAATCGCATTTTAAGTAATAAGTCATACTTCCTCTTCAATTCCATGTCAATATATACTTGTTTTGTAGGGGGGCTAAAAGAGGGGTTTACCGTCACCTGTCCTTTCCATGGCATCCTTTAATATACCGGTGAATAACAAAGGGGAACATTTCTGAACCTCATTCAAAAATCTCCAAAAAAATCCGTATTCTTGGATCAGCTTGTGAATTAATTATCCCACCCTGAAAGCGATAGTAGCTGGTCGAAAATCAAAATTATTATTTATAGAAATATGAATTTCAAAAGTCCATCCTCTGAGGAGGAAGCACAATTTCGAAATACCATCCCCCACACAATTCTGCGAGTACAAAGTTTAAAGTTCTTAAGGCTTTACATTTTAGCATCTAGTGTAATTATCACTGGTCGGTATCAAGCGCTGGTAACGGCCGTAACTTTCGCACCCAAGATTGCGGACGCTAATTTTCGATTTCGACATTTTTAGTTTTCATCGAATTAAACTACTTAATAGTTGACGTTTTGCTTTTATATTTGAACCAAAATAGGCTTAAATGGCATGGGAACTCCGAAGTATGAAGATTTGTTCATATACTGTGCTCGGGTGCCACAGTTCAACGATATCTTCCACTGCTTAGGGGAAGGTAACTGGAATTGTTCGGTGCGGTAACGGTCATGATAGTTTTCAATAAACAATAACTGGACATCTGAGCTCTCCATTATAAACTCTCATAACGTTACCGGATCACCGCATATCAGTTATCTCATCATCTGTAAAACCAAAATCCCAGTTACCTTCCTTTAAGCGGTGGAAGATATCCTTCAACTGTGGTGCCCACGCATGGCATATGAACAAATGATCATACTCCAGAGTTTCGATGTCATATACGCCTGATATATTTCAAATATCAACGCATTACGTCAACTATAAAGTAGTTTTATTCGATAAAAACTAAAAAAATATCGAAATCAACACTTACTGTCGGCCATCTTAGGTGCGAAGGTTACGACCGTTACCTTCGCTTGATACTGACCAGTGATTATGATGGCATTGTTTTAACTCACTTCTCTTAGTTGTAGTTCCGGTTTTTCAGTAAGAATCTTCTGTAGTTCTTCACCCTTACCATTTTTAACTAGAGCTGTTGTCAGCAGCTTGTAACACTCGTCAGTTCCATATTTGTTTGCACACTCTTTCAATACTTTCTCTGCTTCATTTGGTTCACCACGCTGTATTAATGCATTTCCCAGAGTGTTGACTACATCACTGTTACTTGTATCAATGACACGTGGACCGAGGTGGTTCAAGAATTCTTTGCTTTTCTTCGCATCCTTGATGTACATGTTTAAGAGAATCTGTAGAATTAGCTTGTTGTGATCCACGGGATTATTTCGCTTGAGATATTCCGTATTGGCTTGACCGAGGTACTCTTTTGCCTTCTTTTGTTTTCTAATCAGTAGATATGCCATTGCGTGGTTAAGAAGCGATGCATCATACAAGGGCTGTGTTCCTACTGCTTTGAGCAATGCCTCTCCTTTCTGCTCTTCAGTAACGCCCGTTTCCGCTCGTATGTGACTATGTTGCTCGATACTGGAAACTAAGGGAATAGCTGTCATGTAGTAGCGCAATACCAAATCCTCGATGAACTGTTCCGATTTCCCTTTTTCGCTCAAGAATACATCAGGAAACAACTGTCCTTTGACCTCGTCCACTTGGCCATTATTCTCTGCGTAACACCTGAGTCTGAACTCGGTAGCTAACGTAAGGATCATTGTAAGGTTGTGTAGGTTATCATCGCTCAGGCCTTTCACTCCTTTTACATCCCATATACAGGTTGTCTTGCTTCCCAGTAGATGAAGCAGGTTGTTGATAACCACACTAGGGAGACGGTACAGCTCCTTCTTGACACTTAGTTCTTTATCTGATAGCAGGTGTTCCTCAAACTTAGCGTCATATATCTTCTTTGTACAGGAGTATTTCTTCAAGTCATTTTTGAACTCTTTCCTTATTGCAGAAATGATTTCCTTCCGTCTCGCACCATTCCTTTTGAAGATATTCTTCATCTCATTTGCGACAGAATCGTCACCGTATAAAGTCTCGAAATCGCCTTTGTACAGGAACAACTTTGAGTCTAAATCATGGTTGCTGTGGAAGAAATTTACAAATGCTTTTTTGGTGTCAGTTAGAGAGAAGTCGACCGTTTCATCTGTAAAGTAAGGTGTCTTGTTTGCTCTCGACATCAATCCATCAAATGACATGCCTTGTTTTGTAGAAACATGTTGCCGGTCATCATAATACCATCCTTCGAGTGATCCAATGTCCATTGCAGGGAGAACTGTTTCTCCGAGCGTCAATAGTTTGATGTGTACAAGCATGGCTAGATTAAGTGCATTCTTCTTTTCTTCTGTACTTATATTTGGATCATTTGAATCTTGAACGATAGCAAATTCAACATCGGAAAATGGTGTTGTCTCCTTCCTCGAAAATGATCCAAATGCTATAAAGGCAAAGCTTTTGTCATCGATTCCAAGAAAACGTGCGCAATGGGTGACTAAATGTGATATGAATGTCTTAATTTCACCGTGAATCCATTTAAACAGTGTAGCGATTTCCTCAATTCGTTTCTTTTCCTGGTCCCTGCTTGAATTAACAAAACACGACCCCTCATATTTAGTGTCCAATGTTCTCAGTTTAGCTTTCAGTTCGTTCCTTATTTTAGTCAATGTAACCTTGATTCCATTGTCAAATCGTCCATACTCTTTCATCTCTTGTTTTGATGTCTCCCGATGTGTACAACTAGAGATAAAAACCTCGAGCACATCGTTTCTCTGACGTTTGCTAAGTTCGTATTGGTCTTCGATATCATCTTCATGACATTCTTCACAATGCACCATGGCGCATTCATAGATGGCAATAGACTTGACGTACTCCATTTTCTCATTGGTTATATCTCCAATCTCTTTATAGATATGGCCAAGTTCCTTTAGCAACTTTACGTGTTCTTTAGATAACTTTTCCCTTTCCCTTTTCTCTTCCTCTGAAACCTTCATTCTTTTCTCTATAGATTTATCTAGAATTTGATGTTGATGTTGAAGTCGTTTCAATTCTTTAGCTACTTTCATTTCTTCATTTCTAAGGTCCTCTAGTAGCTTAATCTTTTGTAAATCCGTGGTGGTTTCTTCATTCTTTGCTACTAGTATAACTTCCGTATTTGTCGATTTATGATCCATTTTAGTTAGAGCTTCTGTGTCTGTTGATGTATGAGCTTTCTGTGGTAGAACAGGCGTGTTTGTTGATGTTTCTTTTCTATCGAATAGAGCGTCTGTGTCTGTTGATGTATGGACTTTCTGTGGTAGTACAGGCGTGTTTGTTGATGTTTCTTTTCTTTCGAATAGAGCTTTTGTGTCTGTTGATGTATGAGCTTTCTTTGGTAGAACAGGGGTGTTTGTTGATGTTTCTTTTCTTTCAAATAGAGCTTCTGTGTCTGTTGATGTATGGACTTTCTGTGGTAGAACTGGGGTGTTTGTTGATGTTTCTTTTCTTTCGAATAGAGCTTTTGTGTCTGTTGATGTATGAGCTTTCTTTGGTAGAACAGGGGTGTTTGTTGATGTTTCTTTTCTATCGAATAGAGCTTTTGTGTCTGTTGATGTATGAGCTTTCTTTGGTAGAACAGGGGTGTTTGTTGATGTTTCTTTTCTTTCAAATAGAGCTTCTGTGTCTGTTGATGTATGGACTTTCTGTGGTAGTACAGGCGTGTTTGTTGATGTTTCTTTTCTATCGAATAGAGCTTTTGTGTCTGTTGATGCATGAGCTTTCTTTGGTAGAACAGGGGTGTTTGTTGATGTTTCTTTTCTTTCGAATAGAGCGTCTGTGTCTGTTGATGTATGGACTTTCTGTGGTAGAACTGGGGTGTTTGTTGATGTTTCTTTTCTTTCGAATAGAGCTTCTGTGTTTGTTGATGTATGAGCTTTCTGTGGTAGAAAGGTGGTATTTGTTGATGTTTCTTTTCTTTCGAATAGAGCTTCTGTGTTTGTTGATGTATGAGTTTTCTGTGGTAGAACAGGGGTGTTTGTTGATGTTTCTTTTCTTTCGAATAGAGCGTCTGTGTCTGTTGATGTATGGACTTTCTGTGGTAGAACTGGGGTGTTTGTTGATGTTTCTTTTCTTTCGAATAGAGCTTCTGTGTCTGTTGATGTATGAGCTTTCTGTGGTAGAACAGGGGTGTTTGTTGATGTTTCTTTTCTTTCGAATAGAGCGTCTGTGTCTGTTGATGTATGGACTTTCTGTGGTAGAACTGGGGTGTTTGTTGATGTTTCATTTCTTTCAAATAGAACTTCTGTGTATGTTGATGTGTGGACTTTCTGTGGTAGAACATGGGTGTCTGTTGATGTTTCTTTTCTTTCAAATAGGGCTTTTTTGTCTGTTGATGTATGAGCATTCTTTGGTAGAACAGGGGTGTTTGTTGATGTTTCTTTTCTTTCGAATAGGGCTTCTGTACCTGTTGATGTATTAGCTGTCTGTGGTAGAACAGGCGTGTTTGTTGATGTTTCTTTTCTTTCGAACAGAGCTTCTGTGTCTGTTGATGTGTGGACTTTCTGTGGTAGAACAGGGGTGTTTGTTGATGTTTCTTTTCTTTCAAATAGAGCTTCTGTGTCTGTTGATATATGAGCTTTCTTTGGTAGAACAGGGGTGTTTGTTGATGTTTCTTTTCTTTCAAATAGAGCTTCTGTGTCTGTTGATGTATGGACTTTCTGTGGTAGTACAGGCGTGTTTGTTGATGTTTCTTTTCTATCGAATAGAGCTTTTGTGTCTGTTGATGCATGAGCTTTCTTTGGTAGAACAGGGGTGTTTGTTGATGTTTCTTTTCTTTCGAATAGAGCTTCTGTGTCTGTTGATGTATGAGCTTTCTGTGGTAGAACAGGGGTGTTTGTTGGTGTGTCTTTTCTTTCAAATAGAGCTTTTGTGTCTGTTGATGTATGAGCTTTCTGTGGTAGAACAGGGGTGTTTGTTGATGTTTCTTTTCTTTCGAATAGAGCTTCTGTGTCTGTTGATGTATGAGCTTTCTGTGGTAGAACAGGGGTGTTTGTTGATGTTTCTTTTCTTTCGAACAGAGCTTCTGTGTCTGTTGATGTATGAGCTTTCTGTGGTAGAACAGGGGTGTTTGTTTATGTTTCTTTTCTTTCGAATAGAGCTTCTGTGTCTGTTGATGTATGAGCTTTCTGTGGTAGAACAGGGGTGTTTGTTGATGTTTCTTTTCTTTCGAATAGAGCTTTTGTGTCTGTTGATGCGTGAGCTTTCTGTGGTAGCACAGGGGTGTTTGTTGATGTTTCTTTTCTTTCGAATAGAGCTTCTGTGTCTGTTGATGTATTTGCTTTCTGTGGTAGAACAGGGGTGTTTGTTGATGTTTCTTTTCTTTCGAATAGAGCTTCTGTGTATGTTGATGTATGAGCTTTCTGTGGTAGAACAGGGGTGTTTGTTGATGTTTCTTTTCTTTCGAATAGAGCTTCTGTGTCTGTTGATGTATGAGCTTTCTGTGGTAGAACAGGGGTGTTTGTTGATGTTTCTTTTCTTTCGAATAGAGCTTCTGTGTATGTTGATGTATGAGCTTTCTGTGGTAGAACAGGGGTGTTTGTTGATGTTTCTTTTCTTTCGAATAGAGCTTCTGTGTATGTTGATGTATGAGCTTTCTTTGGTAGAACAGGGGTGTTTGTTGATGTTTCTTTTCTTTCGAATAGAGCTTCTGTGTCTGTTGATGTATGAGCTTTCAGTGGTAGAACAGGGGTGTTTGTTGATGTTTCTTTTCTTTCGAATAGAGCTTTTGTGTCTGTTGATGTATGAGCTTTCTGTGGTAGAACAGGGGTGTTTGTTGATGTTTCTTTGCTAGTGAATAGGGCTTCCGTGTCAGTGGACATGTCTTTACTCTCAGGTAGAGCGTTTGTATTTGTTGATGTAATAAGACAATTGCAGCAATCTAAAATCTTCCATCTGTTTCTTGATTCGATGACTAAAGCTGGTTCATTTGTTATTTCTCTACGTGTCCCACTTGAATGTCCTCGTGTCTCAGTTTCTCCTGTTGTTGTTGTTGTAACAATGGCGTCTAATGTCATTCCATCATTCCCATCATCATCCGGAGGTACATGTATCCAGTGCTCTTCTGTTTCTGCATCTATGAGGGAGCTGCGGATGTTCCCCATCCTTCTTCATTAAAGTTTTAAATCTACAATCAATCAACAATTATTTTGACTTAAATAAAGCTAGTGTACTTGAGGCTCACATAAATCTAGACAAATACCAAGTTCAAAATCAGGGTCTATTCATTTTGTAAGCACTTAGCTCTTTAGTTTTGGGAATTAACTTTCTCTTGGCATCCATGAAAAGTCATTGAAGAATTTCTTTATCCAAGCTTAACGTTTAATTTCAAAGTCAAAGGCAAGATAAATCCTGAAATTGTAGTCTTAAATTGTAGTCTAACTTTGAACTGTCTAGTCACTCTCAGTCACAATAAACTAGTTTTTGGAAATGTTGCCGAACGACTTAAACTGTGTGAAAACAGATTGTACTCCCACTAATTTAGAATAAGGTCATATATGACCCTATTCTTTGTCGTGATTTTGTGATTTTGAAATTTCAAGGCTATCAAATTTCGCTAATTCCGAGGCTCATAATTTTCGACGATCTCTGTAACTTCTCAAAAATTATTCTTTAAATTGGGTTTAAGACACTTGACGCAAACCTAAATACTAATATAATATTTAAAAGAGCGGTTTTCTTTTAGAATTCTTTGTGCCTTTGTCTTTGGTTATCGCCCCTTGAACTGCAATGTAAGCCATGCGTATTTTCTCCTCATTCGAACCTTTTGTTTTAGCTTAAGATACCTCACTTCGCCATCAATGGACAAAAGTTCCGTCAACACTGGAGTGAAAAATCCCCAGGAATTTTACGAGTATTATATTTTGCCAATGACCTTCAGGACTGTCAATAGATGGCGAAAAATCGAGTGGGTTTAATAGCAAATAGTGAAATTAATAGTAAAAATTGCTCCAAATTTCTCCAAGGATAAATTGTATTGAAAGTATCCCAAACCTTTTAATTTTGAATCTAAAAACATGTTTGTAAATAATGATGAAAGAAAATATGGTACTTATTTGATATAGAGAATTTGAAGTTTTAGAACAGCAATATTTGCACACAAACCAATGGGCCAGATGTGAAGGACAACCCAGCAGTTAACTGCCATCTATAGAGTCCTGGCTCCCATTTGAACTATTGGAATTTCGACAGTTTTCAAAACAGTAGCGAAAAGCACGAATTATCATATATAGTAGCACGCGAAAATCACCGGGAGTACAGTAGTCTGATGGGAAGGTGCTCCAGAGCTTCGACTTTGCTCAACATTTTCAGGCGGCCATTCCGTTTTGCAACTAGACCAGAATAGACGAAAGCGTACTATCTAGACTGAGATTGACAAATTAATGACGATCAATGTCAAGGACCAAGTCGTTTCAACAATAAATTTCACCCAATCTTTATTCAAAGGCTTTATTCGCAGACTAAATAAATCAGCACATGTCCATGCGATGGAAAAGTCAATCATGCTTTTGCACGAAATTTGTGGGAACCATTATGATCAAATACGAAGAAAAGGGTGGAAACGTCCTGTACTTGAAATGATCAATTTTCAATTGTTAAAGATTTTCATACCTAGGTGTAATTTTCTCTATGAATGGCAAGTTCAATTCAAACTCTCTAAGAGAAAAGATGTAGCTAGAAGAGCAATGTTTTCAGCTATATCAAAAAGTAAATGTCGGTGAATTCCAATTGATGTACAAATAGAATTGTTTGATAGCATGATAGCGACAGTGGCAAGTTATCAAGTGAGGTTTGGGGGTACACCAATTTATTAATATTTGATAAAATACCGTTAAGATATTATAAGTATTTACTAGCTAAAAAGTCAACTCTGTCATTTATGGTGTTGGGCGAACTAGATAAGTTGCCATTATCGTTAAAGTTAAATATGTTGAAGTACTGGTTTGAACTAGCACACGACTGTTTATTAAAAAAAGAAAACAAGATTTCAGTTAAGATGTATAAGTCAATAAAAATCCTATATGATCCAAATTTGATTAAATCAACGTGGCTGGTTGGAATAAAACATATTTTAAATGAATGTGGTATGTCTTTTGTATGGAATGACCGTGATGTTAACATAAATTGGCTTAAAGATGCCTGTACACGTAGGTTACAAGATCAGTATATTCTAGCATGGTTGAATGAAGTAAACACGAGTGCAAATGGTTACAATTATTGACTTTTTAAACAGATTTTTAAAAAGGAAAAATATTTTAAACCAGATATACCAGAAAGTTATAGATTAATGCTTTGCAATTTTAGAACATGCAACCACAAGCTATCTGTTGAGAGAGGTATATATCAATATATTTTACGTCATTGCAGATTTTTCGACTTAAGTTATTCAGAAAAATTGGTGAATTAATGAAATTGGTAAATTGATGAATATCACTTTATTTTAGAATTTAAAACTTTAGAGCAATTAAGGGAAAACTACATTCCTAAATAGTATTATAAAACACCCTCGGCGTTTAAATTTGGATCTCTGGTGAATTCAGATAAAAAAAATTGTACAGTTTATCTAGATTCATCTCAAGGGAATGGAGTTAACTAAATAATGGAATGTGCTAGTGTAATGAAAACTTCAACACTCTCTGTACATTACACCATTTTCATTTTTTGTAAATTTTCTCTTTGAAGATGTATTTAGAATATGTAACTCATAATATGGGCGATAAGGAAATTAAATTAAATCAAAACTTTTGAACATATTCAAATGACACGTCGCAAATAGTTCGCGCATGTATTGTTACACATTTTCGCTTTTTAAACCGACAGAATGTGACGTTATTGAGAAAAATGTACACATTTGGAAATCCTCTCGTCCTCCACATTTGCCTCTATATCTCAAATTATTTATCTTATATTCCGAAAAATTAAAGTTACATTCATGCGATACCCTAAAAACACAAGTGCGCGACCTTTTTGCGACGTGTCAATGGAGATTTTAAATAAATATCCTGGATAGTTTAAATATCAACAAACCAAACACACAATGATAAATATTGCACATTGAAGAGCAAAATATTCACCGTGTTATTTATCCAGCACGATGCCCAAAACCAAAAAAAACACTGGTACAAATCTGCTCTTATATGTGTAACAATTTCAATCTGGAATATTGATGACAAGATTTATCAGAAGGACAAAATGGCTGCCTTATGATTTACACCAAAAGTTTATGTAAACCTACCCCGATTTTTTACATTCTTGTTGATATCAATTAAAGTGGCTAGAAATAGTTTAAAAATTAGGGTATGAGTACCGTAATCCAACACCAAATTCGAAAATTCATAACAATACTTTGCACATATGGCGTTCGTGACCAACTATAAAACGCTTACCCCCCATAGTGTTATATATCAAAATGTACCTGTTCATATAGGGGTTCGATTGATCTACATCAAATTATAGGGAGTCAGGTTACTTTTTGAGATATCAGCGTCCATTTATTGTGACTCGCGTTTGCTACCACTTCCTCAATTCTGATACGACGGGCAAACGAGTAGTAAACAACCTCACGTCGGAACTATTTTTGACCTACATCGCTATTTTCGTAATTCAAATGAAAGTTGAACTCCTCCTCTTTATTTTGATACCAAATAGTGGCATACTAGGTACCCTAGAAGCCAACTATGGCGTTATTTAGAACAATACCACGAGTTTTTAAATGGACTATATAGGGGTCATACCTTTTGGCGGATGGATATGGAACCTCATACCTTAATGTTTTATGACATCACACTGATTTTTGTCTCTGCAACTTTTTTTGGCAGAAAATATCATTTTTAGTTCAAAAATGCATAAAAACGTCGGAACTGGCTGAATATGTGAAAAAATTATCCATTTAGGCTAGAAAGGGTTAATTTGCCCTACCCCAAATACCTCTAAATATGCTAGTCTAACTTTGCCACTGTCACGTCACAAATCTAACCTGACTATCTCTGAGTTTATTGAAGAAAATGATACGTCTGA